GCCTGTAATTTTCTTTCTTTGTAGTGTCTTTATCTGGTTTTGGGATTAGGATGATGCTGGCCTCATAAAGAGTTTGGGAGTTTTTCCTCCTTTTGAATTTTGTGGAATAGTTTGAATAGAATAGCTGTTAATTCTTCTTTGAATGTTTGGTAAAACTCACCTGTAAATCCATCTAGTCGAGGACTTTTGTTTGCTGGGAGTTTTTTGATTACTGCTTCAATTTCATTAGTTGTCATCGGCCTATTAAGGTTTTCTGCCTCTTCTTAATTCAGCTTCGGAAGGTTATATGCTTCTAGGAATTTGTCCATTTCACCCATGTTGTCCAGTTTGTTGGCATATAGTTGCTCATAGTATTTTCTTATAATCCTTTGTATTTCTGTTGGGTCAGTTGTTATATCGCCTCTTTCATTTCTGATTTTATTTGGGTCCTCTTTGTTTTTTAGTGAGTCTGGCTAAAAGTGCATCAATCTTATTTATCTTTTCAAAGAACAAGCTCTTGGTTTCATTGATTTTTTTGTATTTTTTTTTAGTCTCTATGTCATTAATTTCTGCTTTGATCTTTATTATTTCCTTCCTTCTACTTCCTTGGGGCTTTTCTTGCTGTTTTAGTTGTTGTGTTAGATGGTTCATAAAATCTTTTTCTTGTTTCTTGAGATAGGCCTGTAATGCTATGAATTTTCCTCTCAGGACTGCTTTCGCTGTGTCCCATAGATTTTGGGTTGTTGTCTGTTCATTTTCATTTTTTTCCATGAAGTGCTTGATTTCTTCCTTGACCTCATTGGTAACCCATTCATTGTTTGATAGTATGCTATTTAGCCTCCAGGTATTTGAATATTTTTTAGTTTTTTTATAGTTGTTGATTTCTAGTTTGATGGCATTGTGATCTGAGATGCTTGATATGATTTCAATCTTCTTGTATTTGTAGAGAANGGGGCTCTCCTTGACTCAGGCCTGGGAGGAAGAAGATTGGGCTGCTCTGTGCAAAAAGAATCCATCAGCCAGCCATTTTCCCAGGACCCATTAAAATGCTGACACCGTTCATCTGCACTACTTCACTTCTCATTATGCAGAAATGTGCTCTTGATCAAAAGTCCCCTTGTGTAGCAGACTGATTCATCACCGATCGCGGTGGGCCACACACCAGAAATTCATAATCAGCTGACACTACCCACCCAGATCCTTCCCAGGATTTGAAAGCACAGAACCCTGTCTGTCACTGGGAAGGGGCAGCCACCCAGGATGCTGTCTGCAAATAGCCCTGGGAGTTAACACAGCGAAGTCCCCTTCAGACAGGGTTCAGTTCATCTATTTCCCGAGAACTTGCCCACATCAAACCCCACGTGGGAACCAACAGCCTAGAATTTGGAGACAAAGGGGACTTAAGAGAGAGATGCAGACCCACTGACACAAAGGTAGCAGCTCAGAGCCACAAAGCCATTGGTAAATGACAGGGATAGTTCTACTCTGAGCTTAGGTGCTTCGGAATGCAGTGCACCCTCCTCTGACACCCAGGTTCAACCTTTACACTCAGTGGGTATGTGGTCCTGGTCCAATCACTCTCTTCTTGTAGACAGCATATATTTGGGTCCTGTTTTCTTATCCATTCAGCTACCCTATGTCTCTTGGTTGGACCATTTATTCCATTTACATTTAAGGTT